CTGTTCAAAATACTTAGGGCTGCTCGGGCACGATCGTGGACGTGACGTAATCAATACATACTGACAATACCGCCTTACCGCCTTACGTGGAGTGGGACAGCATCAAGCGACAAACTATCGTCAGATTTGATATGCTGTCCCACCCCGGGTAAGGCGGTATTGTCAGTATGTATTGATTACGTCACGTCCACGATCGTGCCCGAGCAGCCCTAAGTATTTTGAACAGTATCCGAAATTGAGGAGATTTTGGTTCCGTTCGTCGCTAAATTTGCCCAAACTATGATCAAACCATATTATTTAGAAAGAGAAATCTTTGTGAAAAGATGTAATCGAATTTGTTTTGGCGTACGACAAATTTGAGCGGAGATATTTGACTTTGAAGGCGATGCGGTCGTGCCGCCAGTGATTAGCCTTTTACTGTTATATTATATATAATGAGCACACACAATGTAGGCCACAGAAAATGTTACATCAACCGCTATAAATGAGCTCATGGATTAATTAAAAGAATGTAAAGGTATTATACTATCATGTCAACTATATTTTATTGCTAAAATGTATTTATTTGACTAATTTGAGAATGTTTTTAGAATAGTTTTGGTTGACTATAAATTTGTTTATAAAAACCGTTAAAAACCCGCAACACCTGATCATTCATTCTGAGATTGGGCCACCTGTGGTGCATGTGACAACTATATGGCATCCTGGTTTTTGTGAAGTTTTTGGCCAGGGTTGGGTACTTACTTTGTAACTGATATTTGAGGTTGGGACGTTGGGTAAAAATATTTTTTGAATTCTCATTGGAGGAGTACCTCCCGCCATAAATAATGACCGGTGATGCTTAGCTGTGTAAAAATCTAGTGAACATACACACAGTCGTTATTGTATTGAGATCACAAGATGGCTTCATTGATGATGAAATGGTCAGCGTCGTACCCAGGCGCAAAAAAATAACTAAAAAATAGTCACACTACAGTGTTTTTATATAGATCTGTGGCTGAGCGCCTGGTTACAAGGCTACCAGGGGGGGGGGGGGGGGGGGGGGGCATTGGGCGACCGAATTGTCAAATGCACAAAGAAATTAAAAGTCACCAAAGTGGCAAATTTATACAAATGTTTACAAATTATGTTTGGAATTTTGGAATATACGGACAGAATTACAACAATTTTAATCCCTCAAATAAGCTGTTAAAATGGATAATTCGTCACTAAATGCATCAGTCATGAGTACAGAGTCGCTGATCATGTCTCTGCTTGGACAGATACAGTGTTTGGAAAGCGAACGAGACAACGCGAGGGTGCTTGCCGCTCGCATGCGAGAACGACTTGAACATATTAACAACAATGTAACCGGTTTTGAAAATACGAATGGTCATAAATCGGAGGTAAATAACAACCACAGACTTGCTAAAATATTAAAAGAAGTTAGCTCGGGTACTTTGAACGATATACAGCAAATAATTTCGAACGAAGAGCACAGGTATTTCAATCTCAAAGAACTGAGTTCAGCGGGCGAAACAGAACAGACTGCCAACCCGAATGGTCAACTCGCAGTGTGCAAACAGCATTATGAAAAGCTCTTGGAAGAGGCGGAAAACGACAAAGTTGAACTGCGTAAGAAGTTAAAAGAACAACAAGATATGCTTCTTGATAGGGATATTAAAATAGGGGAATTAGAAAGGAAACTTCAAAATAGTTCATACTCAGACAAAGGAAGTAGACCTGTTAATAATTAAAAGTATAATTATATGCATGTTAGCTATACAGTAGATGCATTGTGGATTTTGGAATATAATATTTGATTTCCTGTAAGCATGCACCTACAGTATCATCCAGTCTGCGCCCCATGTAGGCCGCGCCGAAGATGTTTGGCGTGACTTTTGGGGCCATTCCATTTAATGTACACCCCCCCCCCCCCCCTAT